TGCTGCAAGCAAAGGTCTGGCTCCAACAGTTCAGCATTCTCCTGCTTTCCACTGGGCTGAACATACAAGGCCGAAGGATTCAGTTCCTTGAATCCCTAGGAACAAACAAAAAAAATCCCCAGTACAGTCAAGAAAAACATGTCGTAACTACCCCAAAGAATAAAAAGGATTCAGCAAGTTTCTAACAGGTTTTATGAAGAAACACACCACCCACAAGTTAGCTCCAAATTCTTGCAGAAATTGTCTTACAGTGAAAATCAACTCCCCCCCCTCCAGCAACACAATTACTCAGCAATGCCCCCCTCCCCCCAAAATTGGACATACACATGCAAAAATACAATCATAGGACCTAATCCTGCCAAAACACGCATTCTGCATCTATTGAATAAAATGGAAACAAGCACTCTGGGCTGTAAAGCCTGACTTTCTGCTGAGATATAAAATTGTGGCACTACCTTTCTAAGGGTTGTCATATCCACACAGTTCTTACTGAAATTGAGCTGAGACATTCAGTTAATGACATCGATGGGCCTACATCATAAATGCTCTCTGCACTGGCTTACAACTTGGATGTCTGTCCAAGGCACAACGTGCATTCTACCATGGTTACGCTGTCCAACATTGTACATTTCACTGGCAAAGTAAGAGACTTTTTAAACCAAGACCAAGATTTCCATGATTCAGTTTGTTAATGGCATAACCAAATCTTCAACGCCTAGAGCAGAGAAGGCCAAAATAACTTATTTAACTATCCTGTTCTTCACTCAACTGCTCCTGCCACTATATAGCACTACTTTACGTCAGACAATAAAATCTAATCAACATGCTCTCATTTAATTGTTTAGATGAAGCAGAGGCCTCAACTTATGAGTAAAAAAAACCTTGCTGGAATTAACAACGGGTAGTGAAGTAACTAACACAGCTCTTAACAACCTCTCAATTCCATCTCAGTTTGGCCTTATGCTTAGAACATCTACAACTATTTTACTTTTTCATGTTATTTTTACAAGTTATGTGTCAGCTCAAGATGAATCTGCAAAACCACTTTAAAGAAAAAATCAAAACCTTCTAATCCACTGTTAGAAGACAGGATGAAAATAATTTGTCCTACTAAACCACAACACGTCCGCTGTATCATCAGATTCCACCTTAACCAAAAAGCAAGCTCTCACCATAAAGTTAGACACCACGGGATGCAGTCATGAAATGGTAAGTTACAGGAAAGCAGGGAATAGCAGTTTGGCTCGTCACAAAACTACTTGCTTCAAGCTAAGATCTTCCCATTACAGGCACCCAACTGATCCTTTCCCTGCCCTTCCTTTCAGCAGCACACGCCTTCCTCCTGACCTGGGAAGGAATGTTCTCTCCGCAGACCTCAGCACATCCCCCATCCCTCAAGACACAATGGAAGTAGACATCCTCCTCAGTGGACGTGTCACACAGGAAGAGATGCAAAATGCCGTTCACATATTCATCCACGATGCCCACAAGCAGCTTGGAGCCACACAGCTTCTTGAACAGGAGAGTTGCTGCACTGGACCACGTACCCTGAAGAAGAAACAGGAATGTAAAGTTACTATAAACAGACCAACATCCACCGCCTGAGACTTTCCCTTGTGGGCACTTGTCAAAAAGGTAATTAAGCTAGGTCAGGCTAGGGACAAATACAGGAAAGTCAGGCAGCCAAGCTTCCCAGCACTGAACTAAAGCAAACTACCCCAAAGCCTACAATGCTAGTTACACTGGGAATGCCCTTTCACCCCTAAATACCTATTTCCAAACACGGTTCAATGGCATTCACCAGTGATTTTATCACAATTGCCTAAAATACAGTTGGTTTTGGTTTTTTTGTTTTGGTTTGTTTTGGTTTTTTAAATTTCTGGAATCATGTGATTATAAACATTGAAAGTGTCAAAAGTTTTTAAGAAGCTGCTAATCCTCACCGCAATGAAAACTGTGATTCTTTAACCCTCAAAAAAACAGAGGAAATAAATAACTTTTTAAAAATAATGTCTTTAAAACACAGAAGCAGCAAACTCTGCTCCTGCCTTCCTTCAGAGTTTGTATTTCTCAGGCTTCTTGACCAAGAGGTTTCCCAGCACAGAGGAACTTTCTTATGACCTCTGTAATTCTTTGGCTCTGCTGTTTGCATCAAACCAACTCACTTGAAGCTCTGTCACGGAAAAAAATTTTAAAACAGAGGGCTGGAGCTACCAAGGCTTCAGAAGGACTCTGGAGAACTACTAGCAGGGGAAGAAACAAATTTGCTCATTTGCTTAACAGTAGCTATCTGTTTCTGCAACAATATAAGCAAGAATACTCTGATCGTAAGGAAAACAGACAGCGGAAGGGGGATCATTTGCAGAGACAGAGACTTACACAGTCATACTCTGCCGAACATAACAGCAGCAATTCTGCTGTAAACATCAACGGGACCTGAATTAATCTAAATGTTTGCCCTTATCAGGAGAAAAAGCCAACCTCTACTTGATAGCTTTCATATATATGTCAATAAACAAAACTGCATGTGAACACATACCTCCACGGGTTTTACCCATGCCAAGGAACATGGGATGGCCTGAGCAGGGAGCTTCAAGTAGCACCACCTACAATACAAAACAAAGCCATTACAGCAAAACCAGAGCAAAACCAGGCAAAAAGCAGAACCTCCTCCTCTCCTGGGTTTTAAAATCAGCTTAGGAACAGAAAGGCACATATTGTATTTTGCACTTATGAATAAAACCCAACAGCAGCTTTGGAAAACACTCCATATCCAGACAATGGGCACAGCAGAAATAGCAATAACAACTGGTCCCTTATGCCTTCCCTTGCCCAAGCATCTTCCCATCATAACCCCTTATGATTACAAACTTATGGACAGAGAGCAGTGACTTTTGAATGCCAATGGCCAGGCATGGAGAGGCAAATGAGAGGGCAGAAGCAAATATAGAAAACATACCGAACTGCAGGGAGAACGAGTACCTCTGACACTGCAAATGTGTCCCACTTGGACTGATACCTGTTCAGGAGGATGTTTACATCCATTCATGGAACCCAGGAAGGAGGATTAGGAGACTTGCCCCAAAGTCACAGAAAATGGCAAGAGGAAAGACTGAGGAATGAAGGCAGAAACAGGAAAGGGTTTAGCCCAAAGTCACTGTGAGGGAGCGATGGACAGGGTTGATGAGCAAAGGGCCAGAGTGATCAGCAAAACAGGTCTTAAACAATGTCACCTCAAGCATTAGCATGGAAGTGCCTGCAAGGCACCATTAATGGAACAAAAACCCAGATCTTTTCTAGGAAATCTGCATGCTGGGATTTCTTTCTGAAGAAAGACAGGCCAGTCAGCCTCACCTTGATCCCTGGGAAGGCAATGGAACAACTAATCAACCATTTCCAGGCACACAAAGGACAAGAACGCAACTGGGAGTAGTCAGCACGGATTCACCAAGTCATGCTTGACCAACTTAAACTTCTGTAATGAAATGACTGGCCTGGCAGGTGAGGGGAGAGCAATGGGTATTGTTTACCTTGACTTCTGTCAGGCTTTTGACACTGTGTCCTGTAAGATCCTCATAGAGAAGCTAAGGAAGTACAGAGTGGATGAGCAGTAAGGTAGACTTAGAACTGGCTGAAGGGCCCGGCCCAGAGAGTGGTCATCAGTGGTACAAAGTCTAGTTGGAGGCCAGGAAGTAGCGGTGTACCGCAGGGGTCAATACTGGGTCCAATACTGTTCAACATCTTCATTAACGATCTGGATAATGGGGGAGAGTCTACCTTCAGCAAGTTTGCTGATGATACGAAACTGAGAGGAGTGGCTGATACACCAGAGGGTCATGCTGCCATTCAGAGGGACCTCGACAGGATAGAGAAATGGGCAGACAGGAACCTCGTGAAGTTCAATGAAGTCCTGCACTTGGGGAGGAACAACACCATGTTGGGGCCGACCGGCTGGAAAGCAGCATTTTTACCATGAGGGTGACCAAGCACTGGAACAGGTTAGGTTGCCCAATAGGTCGTGGAGTGTCCATCCTTGGAGACATTCAAAAGCTGTCTGGACATGGTCCTGGGCAGCCTGCTCTAGATGGCCCAGGGAGGCTGGACAGGACGACCTCCACAGGTCTCTTCCAACCTCAACCATTCTGCGATTCTGTCACCCATGTGTACTTTACTTACTTGAGGAATCTCAGCCAAGACTTTCGGACAATTCCCAGGTTTCCGTAATCTGCGTAGAACACCTCTACTTCTTGGTCATCGATCACACGGTGGATGATAACGCGGTACCACCATTTCGAGACCGTTACACAGCAAAGCTGTCCAGGCTGTACTGAAGACTCAGGCATGATATAACGATCAGAAACAAGTTTATTTGAGTAACAGTGTCTGCAAAAGATCATAACGAAAAACTGTGCTTGGTAGGATGCAGGAGATGAACAAAGAGAAATATACAGGGCTTCAGAAGAAACCCGATTTCTCAAATTCCCCATTACATGAATTTTCAGGAGTTGTTTTAATAGATGCTTTACATCTCTGTTCTGCTACACTTAAACAGAAATGACAACAAAAAAACCGCAAACCCAAACTTCTAACATTTGAATTATATTCTTGGTGTCCAACAAAAAGTTAATGAATGGAGATTAATCAGAGGCTAAATACAGTCATTCTAGTCATTAGTTTTTAACATTACCTTGACATGTCAGTGCCTCTTATGATCCAGGTTCTGGAGTACTGGCTCACATACACAGTATCTGTCTGCAGTCTGTAATCACACTTACACGTACCCCACGGGCACCAAGCACTTACTTTGGCACATAATGACCAGCAATTTTATCACTGTCATGGTGGGATAAAATCCCAAATGCACAATGTAACTGACAGAAACAAAGCCGCCGATGGGGTTTTGCTTTCAAATATAGATACGACAAAGGCCTATTACCTGTTGCTTTTTGATAAGTGTTGGAGATGGAAGTAAAAGCCTTAACCGAGCACATTAGCAACAGTAACGCAGACAACAGAGGTGCAAAGGAACTCTAAAGTTCCTTTCCATAACCTTTCCAGCCTTTTAAAGTTTAAGACTGTCTAGGACACATCAAACAACTGTGAATTGCTATTACACATACTGTTTGCTTGCTAGTTAAAAGGAATGGGTAAGCATTATGAGTATGTGTTTCAGTACAGCACCAGCATCTCCGTATCCAGTAATCAAGCCAGCAGTAACCATAACTAACAGCTGGGTGCCTTGTTCTCTCAGCGCAAACGCACACACAACGGGTAGTAGTATTGAATCAGCATAGCATGTTCGCACCTCATCTCAATCATCATATCCTGCAGTTTATCAGACGTTTCCCTGCTGCAGATGTGGACATAGAACTGGGTAGGAGAGACGATGAATTCCACAAAGACTCCCACCAAGCATCTTCTCTCCAGTGGTGGTAAACTGCAAAGGCTTCTGTCCTGAACAGCATCTGGGGGGATTTCTGGAGTCATTATCAGCTTGTCTAGTAGGGACTGCTCCAAATCTTGAGGCTACAAAGGGATAAGAGGAAGGTAGCACCCAGATGTCTCGTCATGCACTGAACACACATGACTGGCCTTTCTGTTAAGGCAGAAAAATAGTTCTGCTTTCCTGGGGACCTGTGAATTACTAAGTATCAGAGAATCCCAAAAAATTGCGCAAACTTGGATTAAAACTTTCCCTGTGATAGAAGCATTCACTTTCATGTTCTCTCCCTCCCTCCCTCCCTTCTTTCTTCCCTCCAGTGTAAAGAGGGGTGCAAGAAAAATACCTTGCTCATATTCCTGCAAGGAACGCAAAATCATGTCATTTAGACAAAAGTATTGAATGGCTATTGCTAAAAAAGCAGAACAAAACAAAAACCCACACCAAAAAACCCACGCCAAACCCAACCCACCTGTTTGTTGGATTTTACCCAAAAGATGCTATTTCTGTGTTCCGTGACCATGAAAGCGTACATGACTGAACCAGCAAAACTCTATCTGAAAATGATTCAAAAGTGACAGAAGGCACAAAGGCATCTCACTTTCACACTAGAGTTATTTCCCCAAGGATAAAAACAAACAAAACCTACAAATTCCGTTCTTTTCTCACTCTAAACAAATTTGTACGAGTGAGCTGTCAGCACAGCTTACAATTTTGTGTTATTCTTTAACTGCTGAAAACATTATTTCACTTGAACTAGTGCAGATGGGAACCTTAATCAGACATCAGCTACTTTCACTGCCTCAAGAGCTTGCTTTTGTGCCAACAAACAGCAATCCTCCAACGATCAGAAGTCAAAATTATTTCAATTTTACTCATCATGAATATGCTACAAGTTACCACTGCATTATACATCAATGTATGGGAAATTTAGTCAATGTATGGGAAATTTGTCTTCCTGCACACACCCCATTGCTTACCTGGCTAAATTCAACTGCAGACAATGGGTTTTTGCAATCCTGCTCTTTTAACCATTTTTTAAAGATGCAGATGAGAGTTTCCCCTTCTGCAGAATAAGCAAGGTCTAATGCCCTTGAATTTTTTTGCAGTTAAAAATTTCAACTAAAACACTGAGTTAAACAGTGAGTTAACATTTTTGAGTTAAAGAGCAACTGAGGGAGTTCTTGCCTGAGCAGCAGCATCACCTCTAAAAAACCCTCATGTTTCATGGATTTCCTCTAAGAAGTGCCTGTCAACAGTGGCATTTCTAAGGGACAGTTCTGGTCCCAGAATGCTCTTCATATCATACTGTTAAAGGGCACACGGGATCTTTATAATCTAGCTCACGCACTGGTAGCAACAACAGACATTTTCTGTCAAAGACATAGAAGACGTGTGCTTAAAACCACGTTTACAAAAAAGCAACAAAATTATAAAAAGATAAACCAACAGAACACACTGTAAAACTAGGCTTACGAGAGGTATGGCTTGCAAGACTGGCTAACTCCTCCCCCTAAGCTGGACTGGCAGCTGCCAGAGCACGATGTGGATGACACCTTTCCTGCTGCTCAGGGCGGCAAGAAGAGCTGCTGAGAGCAGCTTTGCATACTTTACCCTTCTCCGGGCTGAGAGGATTGACTCAGCCCTTGTCCCTCATTTGCCTCTTACAACACTTAAACTTAATAGTCTCTCCTAACTGGATACTCGGATACCTTGCAGCAGGGTGGGGAACCCTCACAGCATCCCAATGAACAAGCGTTCATTGCACACGTGAAGTAACACATTCCAACCTGCTTTCCTCCCCTTTAGGGATTTTTTTAAGCCAAATGGCAAACTTGGTGTTTCACGAGGAATACTAGTTGTACAAACATCTTCCAAGACTTATCCTGCTAGGATCTTTAAGCAGGTTCCCTTTGCAATATGTAAGAACAAAAATCTGACTTGAGGTTGGGGTTACCAGGACCACATACCCCCTTTTTTACCCTTCCCACAAGCAGACTTTGTTTGACCTAGGGGAATTCCCTGTGAACCCCATCACACCAAACTAAAACTTCTTTCAAGGATCAGAACAGCCTGCCAAAAATCTCTAAACGGTATGTTTTATGAACTGCTGCACAAGTCCCAGCCTTCCAAGTTCATTAGTGCACAAAACACCAAATTCGGGAAGAATTCCTGGGACCCTTTCCCTGCCTATGCGCTCCAACCATACAGTTGCGTACAGCCACAAGACAAGCTTGGCAGAGGAAATAACTCTCAGTAGGAGGATTTTCCTGATAAAAGGAAGGCCTAAAGTTGCTCAAAAGAAAAAAACAGAAGGAACACAAACAAGTTCTCCCCATCAGGTTTGGCAGTTCAGAGCCTCTGTACTGTTCCTCTCCATCTCTTTATGAAAATACAGTGCTAAAAAAAACAAACAAAAAAATCAAAATTTTCAAAGTCCAGCCAAATAGCAGAGTTGAGACTGCAGGAATCAAGGTCTCGGAGCTCTGTCACACAGCTGCTTGACACTTAAACCCTGCTTACTGCAGCAGGGGTAATTCCACACAGTTAGTCTCAGAACAAAGTTATTAAAGTCCAATTACAAGTAAGTACACCAAAAGGTATCACCACTATTATCAGGGGGCAAGATCATGCTTAACTGATCTCGGATGATCTGCAACATAGATCTCAAGACTGGAAAGAGACCAGAAAGAGACAAGAAAAAGACCTAGTCTGGATGGCACATAAAGCTATATACCAGGTCAGTATGAGTCTGGTCACCTCCAGACTCATCTAAAACAGGTACAAAAATTTTTGGAAGCAGCAGTGCATCAATAATACAAATTCAACAGAAACCAAAGCAGTAAAAAGAGTATCACCTCCCCAGATTACAACATGATAAAGCTACAGATCGCTCATTGAGCCACTTACTTGTTTGAGACCATCACCCACATCTACTGCTTGCGTTTCCACTGGCTCTGACTTCTCTTTTGCTGTCAGGAGAAAGCTCTCTGTCTCACAGCTGGGTTCCAAAGGAGGAATCTCAACTGCAGGTGCTGCTGTAAGGACAATAATTTGGCTGTCATTCTTTATGCAGTGTTATATATTAAGCAGAAAGAGAAGACATCTGAAAGTCTGAAAGCACTGGTGCAGTTTTCCTCATCTCTTGTAACATTCACAGCCACCGCATTCATGAGGATTCACTCGAAAGGCATCCTTCACTGTTATTAATACCTTTAAAAAAACAAAAGCCACTTGCTCTTGTAAGCATGCTAGGGGTTAAATCAATTGCTAGAATGATGCTAAAATGAATTTTCCTCAGAAAAGTCAGGAATTTGGCAGGAAATGTGATTTTCTGCCTTCTCTCATAGCTGTTACGGGAACGCTGAGGACATCTGTAGTCTCTTCTGTTTTCTTTTGTGGAACATTGTAGCTGTGCCTTTCAGACTAGTGCTAAACCTTCAGTCTCAAAAAGCGCATCAGAAAGGCTTTACCAGCCTGTGGAACAGACATTCAGATCCTTCTAGTTTTTGTTATCTATTGCCTGGAATGACTAGAAATTCCAGTCCTGCACACACATTCAGAAAGTCCATACTCTGAACAGGCTGAAGATCCCTTCTTTCATCTCACAACAAAAAATGATGGCAACCTGTAGAAAACTTCCAGTTAAGCTCTCTGCTACCAAGACAACTCCCTCGTGACAGCTGCTTCTGTAGCACCCCACAGCCCCTCTGTGCTAAAACCTAGGGCAACCAGGACTACTACAACAACTGGAAATGCAGCAACATCCACTAGAAACACAGCTGATGGGCCACAGCACTTGTGAGAGCTACGTGCTTTCAGTTAAAGAACACACCACCTCACCTTGCGGCATCTCTTCCTGCGCCTCACCTCGCGGCATCTCTTCCTGCTTCTCTATCTCACTTGCCAGGTACTTCTTCAGGGTCAGCAAGGAACCTGCTCTTGTCTGCTCAACCGCAATGATATCAGACATGCTTCTGAGGACTTCAAACATGGAGAAAAATCCATATTGCGTGTATTGGAATGCCCGGCCAAAGCGTCTGAAGAAGGCCTTATCGAAGTCCAAGAGCAGAAGCGGTGAGGAACTCAGCAGATCCTGCAGCTCAGCCTTCACCGTTGCTGGCAGGACGGGAGCCCTGCCCCTTCGAGGGAAACTCTGTGGATTCTTAGATGGAAAAACAGCATCTGTCTTTGTGGCAGCACTCTTCCGTGCCCTAGTACTTCTCCTCTGTCTGGCAACCAGTTTGGCAATTGCTTTGGTGGTCTCATCTGCAATGGCTACAGCAGAAAGAAATAAACTATTAGACAACCAAAACAGTGAACCATTAAAAGCTCTGCACAGGCAAAGCTCCTCTTCTTTCCTTTCTTTCCTCTTCCTCCCACCCTTTTCAGAAACAGGTGTCTCCTTCAAAAGTAATCACACTAAATCGTGGCTGATTTCCAGCAGGGCAATGACTGTTTCTCTCCCTTTGCAAAATGGACTGAACCAGATTTAACAGCCAACAACCAATCTGCACCCTCATTCCTATAAATCCAGATCCAGGAAGGAAGGCAGGTCAAATTCTTGGACACAGGATCACAACGGGAAACCCAGCTGCTGAGAGTTTTGTTGGGAAAACAGTAAATGGCTATTGCTCCCCTCAGTGAGAATCACAGTAAACCCCCGCTACAAAGCATCCACCCACCCAGGCAAGGTCTCCCTGGAGAGTGGCCCAGGTCTCTTCCATGCTTTTAAACAACTTTTTCTTGCGTTACTCTAACACTCTAATAAAAATATAATTTCACCCTTCCCAATCAACTCTTTGCACCTACCATTTTTTTCCACAGCTCTTCCCCAAAGAAAAGGAAAATGAAAAAGGTTCTTTTACAGACTAGACTTCCCATGGGGTCACGTAGGGAAACATTTACAACTTCTCCCTAGAGGCCCCATCCCTCGTTTTGGCTCCTGCTGTAGTCTGCATTTACAGGAAAAGTGAAGCTTACCAGTTCTAGTGTACCCATAAAAAATGTTACTGCAGTTTCTAAACTAAGCGCAGAATGCAAAATGTACAAAAATAACTAGAAGCCTGGGCAATTTTTCAGGAGGGAAGAGCAGAAAAGCATTAAAAGGCAGACCAAAATACAGGAAGAAACATCAAAGACAAGAAATTAAACAGAGCTATAGGAGAAAAAGAGTAACAGAGATATGCAACCTACAGCTCTGGACCTACATTCTGCACATCCCTGTTTCGGAGCATCACTTCATACCAGCCTGTGGTTCCAAACAACTCCTCCACCCATAAGGAAACAGAACCTCACCTTTGAGGACAAAAGTGCCTTTCTCGTAAGGACAGACTCTGACAACTTCAGGCATATCTGCCACCAGCTCCAAGGTGGATCGGAAACCCAGGTCACGTAGAGGGAGAGGTTTGCCGATCATGGCCATGTACTCCTGCTCCAGCTGCATCGGGGTTAAGCCCTCTTTGGCAGCCATTAGCAGCGATCTCACCTCCTTCTTCAGCACCTCCATAAGCTGCGCCTGCTTTGACATGTCTGCACTAAAGGGGAAACAACAGCAAGCAGAAAACGACTTGTACCACAGCTGCTCAAACACAGGCAAAAGACTTTTTACCATTTAGCAACTGAAGGCTGGTGGGGGAGAGGACAGCAAGCCAGGTTCACCAACAGCCACTACCTACCAACCCCCATATTTCCCTGCCCACCCCCCTGGAGCTGCCACCCTTTGGCACCCGCCGTCCCAGCCAAGATCGTGGCTCCTCCTGCAGTCGCCGCCTGTCCCCACGGGATCACGGCCCCTACAAGCACTGCACCCCCCAGAGTTTAGCGCACCCCTAAGCCCCTGCCCCAGGGACTGCCCTCTGCAAACCCTGCCACTCCACAGAGATCCCTGCACCCCTAAACTGCTGCCTGAGGACCCGCCCTCCCCCATGGGCTCACTGCCCCTCACAGAGCTCCCTGCGCCCCTAGACCCAGGCCTGGGGATTCTCCCCTCTGCCCCATAGGGTCACTGCTCCCTAAAGAGACTCCTGTGCCCCTAAACCACGGCGTCGGGACCCCCCCCGAGGCCCCCGGGGCCGCTGCCGCCCC